AGTTTGTTTCTTATTTCCTGTAATTATATTTATGTTATCTGTTGTGTTATTCTCTCAGAAATTTCTGGACGAGCTCCACGATCATGGCCAGCTTCACTCCATGTCTGCCTGGATGGAGATGTACCCGACTCTGAGCTCAGACATCCGCTTCGCCAACATGCTGGGTCAGCCTGGTAGGACAGCGTGCCCCGGCACACGTGGCTCCACATGTCTGCATGAACTCAATGCTCTGACGCACGTGGACATGACATGCAGACAACAACACACGACATAAACACAGAAATAAAACATACAAAGCTCATGGTGTAAATAGTTTATGAACCATAACAGCTCCCTGTTGTACTGTTTCTTTAAGCTCTTCAGTTTCCTAAAACATTCAAACTTTAGGAGGTTCTGCTGTATTTCTTGTTTAGTTTATGCTTCATCTTTTATCATCTATATCATGCAGGTTCTACTCCCCTGGATCTGTTCAAATTCTATGTTGAAGACTTGAAGGCGCGCTACCACGATGAAAAGAGGATCATCAAAGATATTCTAAAGGTAACAGTGCTGTATTCATATCTGCCATCTGTTGCAGGATTATACATATTCTCGTATTAGTCTCTTCTTTTAGCTGTTTTTTATTTTTGCTGTAGAACTACTGATTATTCCTCTTACCTTCTTGTTTGCTCTTGCTGCCAGGACAAAGGCTTTCTGGTGGAAGTCAACACCAGCTTTGATGACTTTGGATCTGTCATCAGCTCAGATAAGAGAGCCACCACACTGGATGCAGGAAACATAAAGCTCGCCTTCAACAGCGTAAGACTTTATGCCCTGCATACTTTTTCTTCCCTTCCAGATTTTCACAAATCCTATGTAGTAACTTAAGACAAACACAGATGCCGGTAAACAAGTGTATTGAAAGAATAAAATATCTAAGTTTACATATATTGAGAAAGTTGGCTGTCACTTTCAGGTGTGATTATTGACTCTTCCTTTTCTGATTCTAGTCTTAATTAACACTAGATGAACCCCTTCTCTGTCCTCTTCACAGTTACTGGAGAAGGCAGAAGCCAGAGAGAGGGAGCGCGAGAAGGAGGAAGCGAGGAAGATGAAAAGGAAAGAAGCAGCCTTTAAGAACATGCTGAAGCAGGCCACACCCCCTCTGGAACCAGAGGCTTCATGGGAAGGGGTAGGTCCTTCATTCAACTTATGCCCTTAATTCATTTCTAGTCTTAAAAATGATTGTACTTTGTTTTTCATGATGAGTAACATTTAAAACATTTCAGGTCAGAGAGAGATTCTTAAAAGAATCTGCGTTTGAAGACGTGACCCTGGAGTCAGAGAGGAAACGGATATTCAAAGATTTCATGCATGTCCTAGAGGTAAGTCTGACATCACAGTAGGAATGGGCTGTGATAACAAGGATTGTGTGTAACATGGTATACCCTTTTTTTTTTTTTTTAACAGCATGAGTGCCAACATCACCACTCCAAGACAAAAAAGCACTCAAAGAAGTCCAAGAAGCACCACAGGAAACGATCCCGCTCTCGATCGGTCAGTAGACCTCGGCACTCTGCTTTACATAAGACAAGGAGCTGTGGGCAAACAAATAACCTCTCCTGCTCCCATCATGCCTTAACCAATCTCTGAACTTCTGACTTGTATTGTTTCATCAGGGCTCAGAGTCTGAGGAGGAGGAATACCACAAGAAGAAGAAGAGGTCACAGTCCAAATCTCCCTCTGAACGCTCGTCTAGTGGTGAATCTGGTGAGTGGCTTCTAAAGGTCACGTCGTCTGTATGTTATCCTTCACAAGAAGTGGAGCAGTATTGGCAAGTTTGGAGATAACTGAATTTTTGTGTCTGAAACAGAGAGAAGCTATAAAAAGTCCAAGAAGCACAAGAAGAAGGGCAAGAAAAGACGTCACAAGTCTGTAAGTTTACAAGGACATGGAACTCTTTCTTTAATTTAAATTTGCATGTTTTGACTGAAGTGTTCACTAATGGTGATTCTGATGACCAGGGATCACCAGAATCTGACAATGAGAAGAGAGGGAGAGAGCGGGATGGAAAGCGTGAAAAGGACCTAGAGAAAGACAAAGAGAACGACAAGTCTCGTGGGAAACCTCGCTCGGACTCCAAGCAGAAGTCTCCTAAAAGAAAAGCAGTGAAGGAGGAGGTGGGTTTCTGTTTTCATGGTTTGTTTAAGCTGATGGAGACTGGAGCACTGAATGTTCAGTAGTAAGTCTTTGTGTTGTGTTCAGGGCGGCTGGGATACATCAGGCAGTGAGCTGAGTGAAGGAGAGCTGGAGAAAAGAAGAAGAACTTTACTGGAACAGCTGGACGCACCTTGATGACAACACTTCTTCTGGTCTTTTATTTGTGATTGTACAATTCTCCAAACATGCATTCCTCCCTGAGCTCATCTGACTGTTCTGGTCACACACACCGGCCTGGACAGACTGTGTGAGGTTACTCTGTTCTCTGGTATTCACAGGGATGTGCTACACTGAGCTTCAACACTTGCTTGGAGGCTAATTGATATCAGGAGACTGTACCAATCAGTCAAAATCAGATTGATTTTGTTGCTTTTTTTTCTTTTTTTTTAAGTTGCCTGTAGTTGTACATGTTTTCCATTGCTAATCATTTTTTTATATTCAGCTTGGTTTGTCAAACTGACGCCTTCACCTTGGAAAATATTAAGAGAGAAAATGGTTTGTCATTGAAACTATCAGCAGTAGTGAAAACAAACTTGTAATTTGAACTGAACTGCAGTTCTACTCTGGAGAAATGGTCCACCATGGTTTTAATTGGAGCAATTGTTAAAAATGATACTGTAGTGTAATGTAATAAAAAGCTGTTTCAATGAACGATGTCTCAGTTTGGATGATTGAGGAAATCAATAAGGTCAAAGTCTATTGAGATGTCAGCTGCATGGACTCTATTTCTGACTTTATACAGTGAAGCGTTAATTCAACATGGACAAACTTAATTTTCCTTTTCATTACAACTCGATCAGAACAAACACCTCCATCAACACGCCTCTTTACTGAAGAGTAACTGAGAGTGATGTTTAGGGTTACAGTGAGAAAATTGAAAATAACAATTCTGATAAACAGTTCCATATTCAATGTAAATAGTTTATTTGATCATATTCATTGAAAATCTCATATCACCTAGTTAAAGAAAAGCTTGTTATTTTGTAATAAGCACAAAGTGCCTGAATGACATTTCAGGTGAACGTAAAAAGAAAACATGCCAGTATTACCCAGTAAGACAAAAGTCACTGTTACAGACGGTGAGGTTGAGACAGAAGAGATGACTGGCAGCACGTGCTTCAGTGGAGATGATTACTGGAGGGTGTGTCAGTACGCCGCTCATCCAGCTGATCACAGGTGAACCGAGTTAAATCAGAATTAAGGTGTGCTATTACAGAGTTCCGCTGTGATCAAATGTACCAACACTGGCAGATCAGATCATGTTCCATGTTTTTTCGTAACTGGCTTTGACACTTTATGACACACCTGCATTCAGATTCAGTGACCTGCTGCGTCCTGCATGACAGTGAGATGATCTGATTTAAAACACACAGCTGGAGAAGATTCTGGCTGCATTTGGCTTAATTAAATATACAATAAAAAATGGAAACAAAACTATAAGTTAAAATAACATTCAAGTTGTATAGCACAAGGCAATGAAAACTTTAGTTTAAACAATATGTACAATATTAACCATCTGGTAATGTGAGTAAAGTAAAAAAAAAAAAAACAGTTTGTAGCAAAATATCTGTACATTTAGGAAAATTGGTTTTGTGTACTTTGTTTTGCTATTTTTCATGACGATGACGACACAGATGGAAACATGAGCTTCAAGGAATCCTTTCAGTGGTTAAATACTATACATTAAAATTACAATGAAGAGAGAAGACACAGACACCTGCAACTTAATTAATATGTGAAAACAAAACGACAGAGATGAAATGTTTAGTTCTATCCAGTTCTGACAATAAGATCCTCAGGTAGGTTTAGCATTGTTTGCAAAGGTTTTACATTTGTTTAGAAATGTATTCTATTTTGCAAAAGGCTAACATGCGGTGCTGCTACAGAAGTACATCATTTCAACTGGACGGTAGATTTAGACTTGAGAAGGCAACTTTCTTTTCAGGATTAGGAGCTACAGACTTTACTGTAACCTTTTATATACAATTCACATTTGACTGTAATGTTTAGAAACGGATCACTTTGGATGTCTTTTCTGTTCAGCTTTCATCTTCCCCTTACACTTTCTTTAATACAAATATAAAGTTTTTATTATTTTCTGTCTTCTTGCCTGATAATCAGCCCTTTCAGTACAAGTTGAAGCCTCATGAGATGTAACAACAACAACAACAACAAAAAGGTGCAGTTTGAGCACATCTGTATGAACAATGAATGGAAAAGAGCATCGGAATGTACCGAACACCACACGGTGTGAAACCCCAACACTGACGGATGTATTATGCAGCTAAAGGGAACACGTCCCATTACATTCTACGTTATATATCCGAGGAAGCATGTCTTCACGCGGCTCTTAAGGCCACTGCAAGTCCAGTTAGACACATCTTACAAATTAAAGCCAGGTCAACTCGTATTGCTCAGAGTGGGAGTATAAAAACAGTCATCAGACAGAGTAACGTTAAAACCACAAAAAATATGTTCAGGCACTTATCTTGTCCAAGGTTTCTCAATCAGCCTTTCAGACACTTTAAATTCAGTCCCATACGTGTCTCAGTCCTTCAACGTCTCAGCTGCTACTGAACCACAGACATGGAATAACGTGTATTCTTATGTAATATATTTACATACTCTATGGTTGCTACAACTTTCACTTATCGTCCTTCATTCTGCATTCAACCTCCGCTCCATCCTTCTTTTGTTGCTACACCCCCTCTCCATCCTTCACCCCCCCCCGCCACCCCTCCTCCTCCTCGTCTCCAGCACATGCTCCGCTTCCCCTCATCACACGACCACTTCGCCGTTGTTCCCCGGCCGCAGGTTCTGATCATCAAAGCGTCTCCTGACACTCCTACGCACAGCGTCGGCTCGCCTGTAAGGCTGATTCCTCAGATCTGTGTGGGAAGAAGACATTGGATTGGGGTTGGAAGGGGGTGGGGGGGGGTAAAAGATCTGTCAGTCAGCTTTGTCATGGCGTTTTGATGAGCCCACATGCTCAGAGTGCTGGCAGCCTGTCTGTCAAAGCAGCGTGAGATCCACACAGAAAGAAAAAACCTCGCAGGTCAGCTGTCTGTGGTTGTTACAACTGAGACAGGCCGCGGGGGTTTTGACTTAAGAAGCCGCTGCCAGAAATCTAGACAGCCTTCCATGCATCTTGTAAAACCAGGATGCATCTCCCCCTTACAACAAGAGTGGATAAACTACTAGAAACAGAGGTTTGACTAATCATCAGACATTCAAATTTGAAGGTGGTGAAAGTGATAAAAAGAAGAGGAGGAGGAAACAGAAGAGAGGAAGGTCTAAACAGGATAGAGGTAATAAAGAGATGCTTGCCAGGTTTGGGACACATCCAGAACTACAGGGGTGCTACTGGAGGAGTTCCTTACCCTCGAGTGGACATTGGGAAATTTAGTAATATTATTCTTCTTTAGGGCTAGATGAAGAGAAGACAAAATGGAGGTTAAAACTGCAGGAGGAGGAGGAGGTTGAACATGTCAGCCTTAGATACACACTGGCTTGCACTGCAGGAGCGAAGCAGAGTGGCAGCAGGCTGCATGAGGGAGTAAGCCTCTAGTCGGGTAAGGGCATGAGAGAGGACAGAGCAGCAGGGTGTTAAACTGGTTCAACTAGCAGAGAGGAGAATCAAAGCTTCTGTACAGCTTTGCATGTAAAGCTTCTGTAGGTTTTTTTTTTTTTGTATGTTATTACTTCAGTTTGCTTTGCAGAGCGGCTACCAGCAGCACAAAAGAAAAGCCTGTATTCAAGTCCAGTGCAGAGCAACTGAGAACTGAAATAAACAAGTATGATTCCAGCACACAGCAGCATTGTGTCTTTCAACAGCATCTTCTCCAAAAACCAAACAAAGCATGCAAGCAGCCCGGGAAACACTGGTAACAGATGAAGTGGCACAAACAAGAGTGAATCCAGCACCACAGCCTGGCTGCATGTTAGAAAGCACGCACACACACACGCACGCATGCACGCACACACACACACACACACGCACGCACGCATGCATGCAGCTGCAGACATGCACAGCTGTAAAGTTCATGATTGATTATATGTGGACACAATGGAGACCATGAAATGTCATTTGACAGAGAGGTGACCTGTCAGCAGGAGCAAGCACAGCATATAGGCCAAGTGGGAGAGCAGGGATGCATTGTGGTAAGGCAGCAGGCATTAGGCATTTAACATGCAAGAAGCAGCTGTGAAAATGAACAAACTTTTATATTTAAACAAAACGGTGATGGAAAGACACAAAGCAAGTTGTAATGCCACAGAAATGAACACGATGATGATGTTCGTTATTCCATGTAGATGATGACACAACTGTAATTCAAAAGACTAAACATGTGACATAAATATGTGACATGTTTGGTGCTGATCAACCAGGATCTTTAAATTCTACTCATAGATATGATTGTATTCTATATGTCACCACTAGATGGCAGTTTAACTTTGCTGTTACTTGATGAGTAAACACCAGTTGGACTCTCCTGTCAGAACAGATAAAGTGTGACCTTGGAGACGGTTTCCTCTGTGACATTATGGTTTGCCATGGCAGATGAAAAATAATGATGATAAATGAGGGTGTCACACTTCATGCAGGTGTGCAGAGAAAACCATTACCCCAACACCAAGTCATGCTCAGGAAGTGAGGGGGAAAAACCACACAAACACACAAAAACATCTGTGTGTGTGTGTGTGTGTGTGTGTGTGTGTGTGTGTGTGTGTGTGTGTGTGTGTGTGTGTGTGTGTGTGTGTGTGTGTGTGTGTGTGTGTGTGTGTGTGTGTCTCAGGGTCCAAAGTGTGAGGTTTGAGTGTGGGGGAGAACATGCAGAGGAAGGAGGACATAAAGAAGAGAGAATGTTTTGTTCCAGCGACCTGAGAGCAGAGAGACAGTTCTACAAGCTTAGTAATGGTACTCGTCATTGAGGGCGGGCTCGCAGAAGAACCGAGAGCCGCGCTTGGCTGTGCGGGCGGTAAACGGCACGGTCTTCAGCACTGCATTGAAACAACACAACAAGGACAACAGCCAGGACAAAGACAAGACAGAGACAATTTAAGAAAAGCAGACTCCTACAGGGGTTAAGCACTGGTTAGCACTAAGCAAATACCCAACAACAGGACCAGGAGGGGCCAGGGTGGGGGCGGGACTAACACAATTATTAACCTTGAACTTTTTTTACTAGTTTTTATATAAACTCTTTGTGGTTGTGAGTCAGAAAACAGAACAGTTGTTTAAGAGATCTGAGTGAAAAACTCTCCTTGAAATATGAATGTATATGATAAAAATACATACAATTAATATATAGTGATGTATTGTTAAAACTAATGTATTAACATATTATTAATGTAAGTAGCATATTACTCTTGTTAAAGTTCTATTTTAATTTAAAACAAATCCAAACATTATAATCTATAAAAATGCATTGTATCAGATGATCATGTTTCTGGTGCTTCATCGAGTTTAGCACATTCATTCCTGACTATAAGAGTAAAACTACCCTTCATCAGTTCTTCTGTATATGGCCAGCTGAAGTGACACGACATAGCATTAATATGAGCACTGTCATGTTTAATCCTCATCAGTTCAACTTTCCAAAGAAAGAAACCCCTCAGAGATCCATCAGTTTCTAATAATGAATAACCGGCAGGTATATAGTCACTGGATTTTCTAAATATCAAAAGTACCAGCCTCAAACTGAAGTACAATATTTGATTAGAATGTGATGAAAAGTGTGTTCCTCTTAATGTTCTTCTGTACAGCATTTGTTCCACTAGTGGCCCTCTTCATAACCCTTCTGTTAACAAAGGAATTATTTATTCACTTCTGATTCAAAGCCCGGCCTGCCTGTCTATGAACAAATATTGTTATAAAGCAAAAGACAAAGCAGATAAGATCAGCACTGATCGTCAGACGTCATTGGCTTAGCTGAACTGTCAGGTCATGTTTGTACTTGTTGGGTTAAACCTCCAGTGCTCAAACATCTGACAGTTGATTTTTTAAAAAGAGCTGAAGTCATTGTGTTAGTTGGTTTAGAATCCCCTTTGATAATGACTGAATGTACAGCACCAAAGAGGATCTTCATGCACAGCGCCCTGCATGTGTGTGTGTGTGTGTGAACACAGGATGGCATGACGTTACCCGTGATGATGTCCTCAATGGCTCCATCTTTGCCTTCGTAGACATGCCGGCTGTCTTTCACCTGTTTCTTCCTGAGCTCCTGGATCAGCTCTTGCTGCTGCCGCTTGTTCTTATGAGACGGAGACTGAGAAACACACACACACACACACACACACACACACACACACACACACACACACACACACACACACACACACACACACACACACACACACACACACACACACACACACACACACACACACACACACACACACACACACACACACACACACACACACACTTAAAAATCTATCAAGTAGTCATGAGTATTATCGACAATTCTGGGAACATTCTACCACCTGCCGTTTCTTTCAGCTCACTTATTTTAGCTCCACACAAAACTCATCTCAGAAAGTTAGTGGCTGTTGGAGTTAATTTAACCATGAAGAAAATCTAACTGCTGATCCTCACTCGATGTGATGTGGCTCAGCCAGGTGTTTTTGACTGCAGAACTAAATATGACAACACCCTGGGCGAGCTTAACTAATCCTGTGATCAGCAGTCAGGAGGAAGGTCAAGGTTTGAGGAGATGAGGGAGAAGAGAAGTATTACCTTCTGGTCTTCCTCCATCAAGGCCTCTTGTTCTAGAAGTTTCTCCATCAGGATCTGCTCCTGTCTCTTTCTCTGCTCGTTGTCCTCTTCCGCTTGCTGAGGAGGAGGAGGAGATCACGACATTGAAGTCTTTTCTGATGTGATTCTATTTTTAGTGTCATAACATTTAGTGTCTGAAGTCATTGACATGGTTCAGAGGTGTTAGGGAGAAAAAAAGATGCATGTAAAGGAGCTGAAATAAAGCAGCCAGGGTAACAGCTGTTTAACTCTGATGTGTGTTTGTAAAATTCTAACACTCGAGTGTTAGTTTTGGTATAAAAAAAGGAAAAACAAACAATGCTATAGTGAAAGCAGCAGGATGAGTATCGATGTAAAGCCCACAGACACACAATGCCCAAGTTCATTTCAAACCATCTTAGCATCCTCACACTGATCCTCCCCTGATGCTATTGTGACTTAAAGTGAGAAATAATAGCACAGCAGTGAGCGTGTTAGACTTCTTTAACATGCTTCTCATCTCTGCTTGATGTAAACACATTGTGGCTAAAGTTGCAGTTAGAGACATCAGAGTCTTCTACAAACTTGAGTCGGTCAACTGTGTTGAGGAAATTATTAAGACTTGACTCTACACAATAAGACTCAGATAGCTTACATTGATGAAAGTTCATACATCAGATAAATACTCATGAGGAGACATTCAACATCACACTTCTGTTCTCGTGTCTTTCTCAATCACACCTGCAGAACTTTTAGAAAGAAATCGCATATATCCCAAAAAGACATTATCATTATCAGGGTCACATTGACCCACCTAGACTAATCTGTGACGTCTATAACACTGGAGCAGACAACAAGTCTACCAAACATCCTTACAGATATCAGGAAGAACAGCTGACACTCTCTAAGCTGTACTTGGTGTTCTAATAACAACTGAACTCTGTCAGGTCTGACTGACATCAGAGAACAGTGAATAACCCTAATGACATCTGAACATTATAATCTAAATAAAATACAGAAATTCCACCACAAACTGCGGTTAATGTAAGTTTTGGTAGGGACACATTTAAGTGAAATTAGAGAAAAATAATTGGTTGTACTTTTACAGGTACTTTATTAGTGTGTCGTTCATCCAGCTGGCCATGTGTGTTTTCTTGTGAATTTAACAGAGACTGTTTCACTCACCCTGTAAGCCTTCACAAATCTTACAAACACAGGGAAGAAGACAGAGGGCGGAGTCGTTTTGGCGTTCTCCCCGAAGAACTTCACCGCCTCATCAAAGGCGTCCTTTCAAAAACAGGACAGGACATTTGAGATCATACAAATCAGACCACCTTACACAAAGCCTTCCCACACAAAGTGATGTGTGATCATGTTACCTGTGCGATCTTGGCATCATCCTGCAGCTTCTTCAGCTTGCTCTCATTGTGTGCGATGAACTCTTTGAGCATGGTGTTGTGGCCATGCATGCTGTACTCTCTCCTCGTCAGCTCCATGCCTCTGTTCAGCTCCCTCACATCCAGCAGGACGTTCTCCAACGACACTGTGAACACCACCAGATGTATGAGTGCTCATGCTAGCCCCCCACGATGGACTCTGAGGGGTCACAAAAGAACGCTGTAAAGAAAACTCCACTCACCTGCAGCAGCTTTCTCCACGTAGTGCAGCTCGTTGTAAAAGAGAGCGACTTGGGCGTATTTCTCCTTCACTACGTTGGCTATGTAGTGTAACAACGTCAGCTTTCGGTCTGTTGACTTGGTATCAAGAAGCTGTGCAGAGATAGAGAGGAGCAAAGTTTATAAAACACTTAAAGAAAGATAGAAAGCTTTTTATTTTTATTTTTAAAGATTTATTTTTGGGCTTTTTGTGCCTTTAATGGAGAACTAGGACAGTGGGTAGAGTCAAGCCGCCTGCTTGAAGGACTACAGCCTCCATACATGGGGCGTGCACACTAACCACTGCGCCACGGGTCCTGCAAGTGAAGTCCCCTCCTGAGGGTCTGGGGGCTGCTGCTGCAGGACCCAGCCAAAGAAGAGAAAAATAATAGCTTTGCCTCTCCCGCCATTCTCCCCTCCAATCAAATCAAACGCTCAAACCAACCCCAAAACCCCGGCTGCAGTCAACTACCGCTAAAACATAATCATTACACAAACTCTCACCTCTCACATCACAACATTGTTTAACATCAACATATTCAACACATACCATACACACTGCTCAACTCCTCAACTCTCTTCTACCTCTCAAGTCCCCTTTACAAAGCACCTTCTCTCCCTCCCCTTATCTCTTTCTCTCTATCGCTTTTTCACTTCTTGTATCCCTTCTTAGGTATTTCATATAGTTTTGTAATGTATTTGCTGATTGTAGTCTGATGTGTGTCTATTGATGTCTTAGTGTTCTGCTGTGTTTTATTTTATTTTCTAGACTGTATTTGAGTCGTTGTCCTGACCTTTTCTGCTTTTTTTTTTTGTGCCTCATTTGTTATGTATATGTCACCAGTTTGACACTCTATTGCACCTAATAAAAAAAAATATATATTTTGTTAAAAACACTGCGCCCCGTAGAAAGCTTTTTTTTTGACAGAGAGAGGTGACCTACCAGGTCTAAACTCTGCAGTTTGAATCCATACACTGCTCCCCTTTTGCTGCTGTTCATGTAGTTTCCAAGTGCCAAGATGATCTGATGAACAAGACGAACAGGAATGTCAAAATGGAAACCGGGTAATAGTTTTACTTCATGTTCACCCCTGACACAAATGATTAACTTACCTCTAAGATTTTCTTTAGTTTCTGTGATGATTTGATGGACACAGATGCTGCGATCACTGCATGAAGTTGCTGAGGATTAAAAAAAGGAGACGAGATGAGAAAGTGTCACATTACACAAACAGGAAACAGTCCTACAGTTTGCACAGTTGCCATGTCCAATATATCGAGAAGCTGTTTCTCACCGGTGTCAACATCTGCACGCTCTCATAGAAGTTCCCGATGAAGGCCATGATGGTCATCTTCTGCATCAGCCGCTCGATTTTACTGAACTGCATCATGAAGCGGTCCTCGTCCGTCAGGCTCTCCAGAGGCTTGCGCTCCTTCTCGAACTGCCGCAGGACTTTAATCTCGTTCTCCGTGGGCTGGAAACGCATCAGACACTCCACAAAGTCCACAGGCAGAGTGCGCAGATCAAATCTGAAAGGATGCAGAAAGTACAAAACAAAGTTCACTGAATACAAAAAAGACAGAACGTTTAAAGAACAACATGCAGAGGAAGCACGTCAGAGGACCAAATATGGATTTCTTTGAATGTTTCAGCTTGAAGTGGCTTACATCTGAATGGCCCTGCAGATCTCCTCAGGAGTTTTTCCCACTTTCCTCAGTGTGATGGCCAGGTTCTTCGCTCGGTTGGAGTCCAGTAGCGTCACCTTGTTGGGACCCTTCTGAATGACCTTCTGCTTGCCCATGTTGAGGTCGATTGCAGGACCCTGAGCTTTGGTCTTAAACATCTCCTCAAACTCATCCACGTTTAGGTCCTTTAAGACGGCATCAGGGGCTCGGTTAGTGTTCTGTTTTCATAGAATTGAGACAGGGGGAATGCACTTAATAGTTGCTAACTCACCTCCAGTATCCTCTCATCATCGATCTCATTGAAGACAGTCCCGTTGATCTGGTTTGGTTTCAGGGCCACCCAGTTAAAGACGGGCAATCTGAACTTTGTCTTGATGGGTTTCTTGATCTTAACAGCTACACAGGACACAGAAAAGTTAGCACGGTGTCCTTGTCTACTAACAGAGTGTACACACATACACACTCACACACACACACACACATGCAGGTGAAAGGGTAGACAGGTAGCTGGGACTGGTGGCACACATGGATATGACTTCTTCAAATATACAATCCTACTTCAAGTTGGTCACATTTTTGATTGACCTCCTTCCTTCCACTTTAAAGAAAACAAAAAGGATGCTCAGTCATACTTCAAGCAGATTGAAGCCTGTTAGCGTCTGCCAGGAGATTAAGCCAATGGGGTATTCCTGCACAGTAAGCTGTACATAAGGGGAGGATTTCCTGCCTGGCCCTGTGACAAACTGTTTATCGGGCTGATTTGGGCTATCCGTGACCACGCTGCCCGATTCACTGCAGCTGCAACATGAAGGCAGAGCCATGTTCTGCTGCACAGATGTCAGCAGGTACACATAGATAAGGTCACAGTGGGAAAGGTAAACAGCATTCTTGCTCTGCATGAAGTTATCACTTTGGAGCCTATTTGAGGTCACTCTCAATATGCGACTAATACCTTGAGATGTGGTGATGCATTACATGCAAGACATACACACAAGTTTAAAGGGAAACCATACAGAGTTTTGAAATTTTTACAGACGTCTTAATGTCAGAAGACAGAAGGCATGATAATGATTATGAATGAACTTCTAGTAGACTTGATCGACACAAATGTTTACATGGAACAGTTTTCTCTGAAAGTGACATTTTCAAAACGTGGTTGAAACACAGGGAAAAGTGAGGGGGAACAAAACACCAAACATGACAAGCAGAACCTACAGAAAAGTTTGATGGGTCCCTCTGGTTGGCAAAAAAAGAAAGAATTAAAAGATAAATGATTAAGAAGTTGTCAAGAGTTAGTGAGAAAAGCATACACATGCACATTTCAAACACACATGTTACAGTAACGCAGCTCAGGATGATAGATCAACACTTTTTTTTCCTCCATCCAATCCAGATTTAGACTGACTGTTTTGTGACACGCAGCATGGCCATTCACATTCAAAATGCTAAACACAACATGCATGCAGCTAACCCTCATGCTGTGAGGCTTCTACTGTGAAGCAGCTGCAGAAAGTATTTTGAACAAAGCCAGAGTTAAGCCGAGAAGTTTAGGAACACCACGGTCATCAGACATTGTTTTGACAAAAAAAATAATGCTATTCTGAAAATACATAAACTGTTCTAGCAATTATAGGATCCTTTTACATCAGAAATCCCTTTATTTACAAACAAACAAACAAACAAAGTAACCTCAATGTTTTTTCCATTCAATGAACTTACCTGCCAACCCAGAGTTCATGATGACAGTCGGCGTTCCACAGCCTGGCAGTGGGGGGGCCATAGGAGGAGGCGGGGGAGGCATATGTGCTGAGATATCTGGCCCTGGGGGAGGAGGAGGCGGTG